GTCCTATGTTCCATCAGAAAGACAATTAGCCAATGTTCTAACAAAGGGGCTGAACAGTTCAAGTTTCCATGATCTTGTATCCAAGCTGGGAATGGAAGACATCTATTCCTCAGCTTCCATTCCTAGCTTGAGGGGGAGTGTCGAGATGTGACTGAGATGGAAATAAAGTTGTGAGAATTAATTCTAATTTCCTTAATTAAAGAAATTAGAATTTAAGGAAATTAGAATTAATTGGTAAATCTCTTAAATTAAGGAAATTAGAATAAATTTGTAATCCCTTAAATTAAGGGAATTAGTTAAATAGTTTCCTAGTTTTTCTCTTTTTTAATCTCCTATATAATACCTTGTATGATCAATTCAAAGAATAAGGAGAAATACAAATTATTTCTTTGATTTCCCACATAATATGCTTATTTGAAAGATTTATAGATTTTTATCTAAGTGTTACTTAGATGAGAATGCTTAGGTGGATGAGTGGCATGACATTTAGAGGCAAAATGTGAAATGAATGTATCCGTGCAAGGGTTGGTGTAGCTTCTGTGACAAACAAGATTGGAGAGAGTTGTCTTAGATTGTTTGGCCACTATAAACTTCAACCATCTGATGAGCCGGTTAGGAGAGTGGATGCTTTAGATTTGACTTATATTAAGAAAGGTAGAGGTAAACCTAAAAAGACTTGGGCATATTCTATAAAAAAAGATTGTAATTTATTAGAATTAAATGAAAATATGACTCTCAATAGGATACAATGGAGAAAAAGGATTCATGTTAGCCCACCCCACTTAGTGGGATAATAGCTTGTTGTTGTGAGGATATATAAATTTTTTGCTAGCCTCATACAATGCTTATAAGAATACATTGACATCCACAAAAACATGCAAAAAACTTCATGTTGATGCTTTTTTTTATGATAATATGTTGCTATTATAGCTTAAGAGGACGACTAATTAAAGTTTCCATCGGTGGCTATCATTGCTTTTGGTAAAGAAATAAAAAAGGAGTGATTGAGGGAAGGTAACAACAACTTGATTGCAATAATTTTGTCTGGCATTAGAGGCTGAGTGCTTTTAACGAAATTAGTTTGGCCGATGAGTAAAGTAGTTCTTTTAAGATTAAGGATAGAAAACAGTACGAAGGCCAGTTGTATTTGGCATTGTGTTTAATGTAATTGTTTTGTCTACAACATATGTGACATAATAGATAAATGGTAGTGAGGGAATACCTTGTGAGAGTGGTGCAGTCAACTGGCTTGTTTGATCAGGTTGGTTTGAGGCAAAAATTAGTCAACCTGAATATGGTAAATGTGAACTTGATCCGACATGTGATCACTTGAGTTGGCATTGAGTTAGTTCCAACCTTATGTGGAATTGGACATGAAAAAAAAAAATCTAGTAGTTATTGGTATTTTAAATGAAAAAATTAAAATGTAAGAGCACAAGTTATCAAGTGTGGTCAGTTCACGTTTTTCAAGCTGATCTATGTTTGAAAATGAACCAAATTTTTTCCTAGTGACTTATAGTTGGTTTAAACTAAACTATAATGTTTTAATCCATACGGTTTGACCAGGCACAGGATTTTCATATCTTTTTGGATTATGTTTTCATGTTGGGTTCAAAATTGACATCCTTAGAGTAACATGAGAAATGAATTGCTTACGGTGGGTAAGATGCATGCATATTGCTGGTTGATGCTTAATGCTCGATGCTTTCATGAGAAGCATTAACTATTGTAGAAGATGCCCAGGGAAGGTGAAAAATGCAACAAATTGAGCACATGGATCTATGGTTTGGATGCACATTGTAATGAGCGTGATGAAAATGGCTGTGTGAATCTTGTGTTTTGTGTGGAGTGGATGTGTTGAGATGGCTTTTGATTGTATGTATTTGATGCACTAAGGTTGATTCTCAATATATGGGTGGTTTCACGAGGCCTTAGTCACAAGAGCAAGGGTGCCGGAGTAAGTGGGAGGCATGAATTGTGACAGGATGGAAACTTATGTTGTTGGGTTGTAGAAGAAAAGAGTTGTGGCAATTTATTTGAGAGCAGAATAACAGGATTTTGGTGTAAATACCAAAATTGATGCAAGGTGAACTTACAAGACTTAGAGCGATCCACATACACAATTTCGATCTGAAAAGAGCACTCCTGTGGTTCCACTCAATTACATTTATTTATTAATGTTCAGTCATGAATTGAAGACACCAATCCCTATTCACAAAAATAGTTTTATAGGGATAATTCATTATAATTTAGTGTCAAATCTAATCTTGTTTGATATTAAATTTATTATTTAAAAATTATTCAATTTAAAACATGATTATCTAAGAGAATGACTAAACCAATAAAATTAAACAAATATAAATATGAGAAAATTTGCCAAAAGTAGAATCACGCTAGAAACAAAAAAAATGGCTAGTTCAACTCTGTTTTAGCTTGTTCTTACTCCTTTTTTATTAAATTTTGCGTGCTAATTCAGTTAAATAATCAACCAATTTACCACATCTAATTCTTGCTCTAACAGTAGCAAAAGGTGCACTAAGCTTGTTGAAATACTTTGATTATTTTCGTATGGACCCTTGTGTATTTATAGTTTGTTTACTTTGATTATTTTCGTATGGACCCTTGTGTATTTGATCTTTTAATGAACTTGCAACAATAGTAATTACCATTCATTTGTTGAAATACTTGCATTTATTTTTTTTCATTTTGGATTTATTTTTTATTTTTTTATATTGAATCTGATATGATCTCTTGTGGCCGACTATCCATTCTGTAATTAAACTTGGCAGTTGTCATTCTTGCACATTAAAGTTGTGTTGCTTTCCTTCAATTGTGAAATTGAGCTTTCTGTATGGTTTACTTTATGATGGCTGTGTTGACTTGAAATAGCTGATTTTTTTTTTAATTTATAATTGCTTGAATTAAATGATAATGAAACTGATATACATCTTGTTATCTACATAAAAATGAAGGTAAACGTTTATCAATAATAATGCTGTTGTTTCCTTGTTATTTATTCTGCGAAGTATAAAGCTTTTATCACTTGTTTATTTATTGCTTACATATGTGCTAAAGTCATTCTATAATGGCTTGCAGGGATCAATATTGTCTTTTCCCGAGCATCCCTTGGATGCTGTTCCTATTACATTATATTTCCAGAAAAGGGTACAAGATGGTGACATCATTTCTGGCTGTCAACAAGATTTTGAGTCACTATGGGAAAATGTTCTCCATGCAAATGAATGTGCTAAACCACAACCCGTCAGCGTGACCAGATACCAGAAAAATTTTTATCTAATGCTGAAAGATGTGTTGGATAACCATTCCCACCTTTTCACAAGTGCAGAAAAATGTTTAATAGGTAGAATGATGCTGTTAGTAATGCATGTTGTTGGGATTCAGCAATGATCTCATATAATTTTTTTTTTGTCAGGATATTTTTCTTCATTGTCGGATGATGCACAGAGGCTTTTTGTTCGATTATATACTCGAAAAGGTCTTGTATCCAAAAACATTAGTTTTAATAGATCATGAACATAGAACAAAATTATATTTGCTGGGGTCAAATATAAGAAGATGAAGTTTGGATTAGTTTTATTAAAGTTTGGGAAATATTTGAAAGCATATGGACTTTTTAGCCCTAAGCTAAATTGATATATGATTGCAGATTGTTCTTGTATATTTCTTGTAGAGGTTATCAATTTATATCATTTCTCAATAAAAACAGTAATGCTAGTGAATGCTTTCACGTATTTGTTATCCAAAAGATAATATTTCCATGAGAACAGATTTTTTTTGACTGATGATTCAATGTATGGCATATTATGATTGTACACCATTACATTATAATGTCCATTTGTGCTTTTATCAGAGCTTGATTGATTTCACGTAATAAAGTTCTTGTGAATGTGTTAAATGCTAAGATCATTAATTACAACTGAGTTTGTTGATTGACCAGTTAGTATTTTAAAATGTCTATATTTGGTTCACATGTTCTGTTTCAGCCAAACAATCAACATAGAATGCTATATTCCATAGACAAGATTTAGGCTAATATACTACTACTCTCTTATTTGCAGCATGCCAATATATTAATGAGAAAGGGCAGGCCTTGGAGAAATGGTCAGATTGCCTCAATTTTTATCTGAATTATATGCATTAATCATCAAATTAATGACTTTGCAATTTTACGATAATCCTGCATAATCAGTTCTTCTCAGGCTTTACATTGGTGTGAATGTCATTCGTTGTGTGCCATCAAGATATTCAAGGATCACAAGCAAACAAATTTAGATGCCCAAGTTATCAAAATAAAGTCTTGCTTGTCTCGGAAAAATTATTGGCCTTGCCTGATTAAAATAAATTAAGAATAGATTGATCGGTCAGAAACAAAAAAGCTTGCTTCTAAAGGGGATGGTTTTGTTATGGAGAGTATTAAATCTAAAACTTGTATATTGGGAAGCTTTATTTTAGGTAACTTAATTATAAAATGTTTAATTATGTGATTTTTTCTATATTAGAAAAATTCTTAATGTATATAGATAGGAGTGTATGTAAAAATGTAATATATGCTTTCAATTGAGGAATAAGAAGAAAGGAGGATTTCCTGACTCATGATATTAGAGCCTTGTTGAATTATTCTCGTTTGTATCTTATCGAGGAATCATTCCTCTTCGGCTTGATTTCGACATTGGGCTCTGGGAATCCATCATCTTCGGCTCGGGCTTGTTCCCTAATGTGTCGTATGCTTTGAACTACATCATCTCCAAGGCCTTAAACGAGTTTGTTTGCGTCCCAAGGGCATCATCCCATGGTGACATCATCTGCATTGTGGTTATTATCCTATGATGTCTTAGTTTGTCTAGTTCTACTTCATCTATATCAACCTCGCCTTCGACTTTATCTTCCTTCGACGTCGGCTTCCTTCAGAAGCAATTTGTCTGCTTTGTCTTCTTCCTATTTGACTACATCATCTTCTTCTTAGATTGCATCATCGCTTGTCTTATTCGTCTGCCTAAGTAGACTGTGTTAAAAGTTTCGTTCAGCTGCTTCGCTTTCATCCTTTTCGACTTCGTCGAATGCTTCCTTTAGCTTCGCTGCGTGCTCATCTTTGTCCGATTCATTTGGATTTCGTTTCAGCCTTCGACTTGCCTGTACTTAATCTCATATTTGGTGATAATTATGGTTGTACAACAAATATATAGTGTAATAAGATTGGTTTCATCAATGACTACAATTATTATTATCAGTATGAAACCATGAGATTTTACTTGAGAGTATTTCTTAGGAGAGTCACCTTATTGAAAATCTCCCAATTGAGATTAATTTGCTCAACTTTTGATACAAATATGAAGACTCTATTGAACCTGATCAATCTGGTCATATTAGTCATTGCGACTGTGTTAAAGATGTGTTGGAGGAATTATCATTTGTGTTTTCTGGGAAAAAAATATTTCCTGAATCTTTGATGTATGCAAGGAGTTCTATCAAGTTGAACAAAATGATCAATCACTTTACACATATCACATGCACTTTAAATGTTTTTATGAAGAATTAAATGTACTATTGCCCTTTAGTATTGATGTATGGACTTAGCAGGCTTAAAGAGAATAAATGACTATTATGAGTTTTCTCGTTGGCCTCAGCTCGCAGTATAAAGATGTGAAATCACAGATCCTATTTAATCAAAGAGTTCTACTCTAATGGAAGCATATATTAGAGTGTTGCAGAATATTTCGAGTTCGTACAATAGTGCTCTTGCTAGTTAGAAAAATATTGACATCAGTAAATATCAGTCTCAAGGCAATTATGAAAGTGAAATTCCGTATTTTGGAAATCAAGGCTTGAGGTTATTTTGCTATTACTATGTTGAACCTGGTCATACTAACAAAACGTATAAGAAGTTACTTAAAAAGAATCAGAATGGTTCTTAATCATAGCCAGCTCACATGGTCACTATTAATGAGGCTTCTCAAAGTCACTCTCTTGATTTCTGCCGATGAATATGCTAAATTTATCCAATTTCAGGAAGCATCCAAGCAAACGCCCTCTGTCACTGCCTTTGCTGAGTTAGGTTGCAATGATTCTTTGCTCTTCCACACGACGGGTCATGATTCTGGTGCCACATGACAGATAATCCAACTCCCTCACGTTTCATAACATCTTTCTTCTGTTACCTTAGTAGATGGATTTATCTCTAATATTCTTGGTTCCGACACCATTAGTGTTACAGGTATATTACCTTTATCATGTTGTTAACAAGATACACATGCTTTTAATTGTTGTATCTTATTATAACTTGACTATTGCCTTTTTCAGGATCTTATGATTTAGAAGATTATTGATAAATAATTAGAATGTGTGTGTTGAGAGGGCTATGCATTTTGGATCACAAATTACCTCGACCCATAGCCTATTCGAGCACCTTATCTCTGTTTTGGATCTATTTTTGATTAGAGTATCCATCACCACTAAAGCTAACAAAGTTATATTTTCAGTTTCAGCAATTTCCTTCTATAAATTGTGAGTTGTGTCAATTTGCTAAACAACATCGTTTGTTTTCTGCTCCTAGATTAATATAAGAGTTGTTCATAATTTTGAGTTGGTTCATTTTGCTGTATGGGGACATTGTCCTGTTTTATCCATTGGATTACAATATATTATCATTTTTATGGATGATTTTTTCTTGCATGACTTGGATTTACCTTATTAAATCTCGTTTTGAGTTACTATCACATTTTCAATCCTTTTATATGAAACTCAATTCAATGTTTTGTTAAGATTCTGTTATGGCAAAATGCCAAAGAAAATTTTTCTGCGTCTTTTCAGACATACATGACAAAACAAGTGGCTTCACCGGTCATCATGTGTCGATACTCCATCCTAAAATGTAGTAATTGAAATGAACAATATACATCTTCTTGATCTTTTGTTTGAAACTAACGACCCAAGTAGTTCTTGGTTGATTCAGTTTCTATTGCATGGTTTTTGATCAATCAGATACCTTGTACTGTTTTATAGAACTAAATACCCTACCAAGTTCTATTTCCAAATACTTTTTTCCCATTGAATCATGTATATTTTTTACATTTGTCCATAGGTTTCTAAATTGAATCTTAAGTCATGAATGTTTCTTTCTTGGATCTCTCGTTTGCAAAAAAGGGTTTCAAAACATTTTTCCCTCTGTTTTCGTGGTTTTTGTTGATGTCACCTTTCATGAACATACCATATTCTTTTGTGACCATCGCTGCCTAATTCAACTTTATTTGTTGCACTAGTGCCTCTGCCTAGACCACCCATCACCAGTTTTTATCGAGAAGACCTTGCCCCCCTAATCCTAGTTTGACATCAATATCTTCTTTTTCAGTGGATCCTTCTCCTAATGACCCTGATTACCTTATTTCTCTTGAAAAAGTTAAATATCAATGCGCCTGCCCATTTTTTCTTGTGTTAACTATGACCAGTTATATTTTATTGCTTCCCTTGAATTTGTTGAGGACCAGAGATATGTTCTACAAGCCCTATAGCATTTTGGGTGGCGGGCAACGATTTTTAATGAAATGGACGCCTTAACTTAAGATGGAACGTGGGAATTAGTTTGAATTTAAACTTATAAATTTCAATAATATGTTCGGGAAATTAAAAATTATAATTTTTTAACAACTAATAAAGAGATTTATATACATACCACATAAATTTTGCATAACAACATAAAAGACGAAGATATCCTTCAATTCATGCAAACCACTATTAAATTTAACTGGAAATATGATTTAGGACCAATTTGGAGCAACTTGTAATAATCTGGGATTAAATTAGAGATTCTAAAACTCTGGGACTAAACTGAACACTTCTTAATGTTGTGAGAACTATTTTGGGCATTTACTCTTTTTATTTATGTTATCTAACTGTTAGAGAAAACATCGAACCACAAACATTACATCCAAGATAATTAACATTAGTTGCATTACGTCAACAAATTACATCTGGAAGTTCTTAATCAATTCTTGTTTCGAATGTGCTTGGGCCTTCTTGTTCAAACTATTTAGTGCTTTCCTTTGCTCCGCTATTTAATAACTTCTACAAGGTTGTATGCATTTTACTCTTTGAAACTTTTTCATGCTATATCTACTTCAGGGCCTTTGTTTCGGTTGTCTAATATTTCCTACAAGGAGATTTCAGATTTAAATGCAGCAATCCATGAATTGCAGGGTAACACGTTATTCTTCTGTTTTATTTTATTTGATGCTTATTAATTTTATGCTACAAGCCCTTTTTTTGGTCTACAGTGACTGGCTACCTCTGTTCACTTTTTCTAGTGCCCAAACATTTAAGTACAACATGAAAGAAGCTCTTGATTTGTTGACTGTTTCTGAATTGCAACAAATTTCAAATCAACGGCTATCTAAGGTTTATACTTGACTGTTTAACTTGAATTTAAATCTGCAACACGTACACCTTTAGCAAATTTTTGTTGTTTCTGTAGATTTTCAGTGCTCTTTTTGTTGCTAGAAGTAAAAAGAAACTGTATTAAAAATGGCGAGTTTATTTAGTTCCATCATTTGTTTGGTTGTATTTAGAAATATATTTGAATCTTAGAGTAAAAAAACATTAAATTTTTTTAAAGTGAGGATTTTATATTCATACATAAAATGAGCAAAAGGATGATCAGCATTTTTTATATCGTGTTTTTGATCAAATGAACAAGCGAGTGTTAGATTATTTGAATTGGATGATCTTCCATGAAAGCAGAAGTATTTGTATTCATTGTGTTTTAACACAAATCGATTGTTGGAAAGAGAATCTTACACTGGTTTTCTTATAGGATGTCTTGTTTTATTGTACATTCAATCAGAACTTCATAGACATTTATGTGGAATTCATCGTTTATGCATTTTAAAATTGTTGCTGCCCATATCCCTAAGAGCACTGATGCTAAAATAATCAATGATAGTGTTTGATTGAAGATCTCGTGCGAGAGGGCAGTTTGTAATTGGACCCAGTTGGAGATTTATTACTCCCACTATGGCCCAAGTCATATAGAACCATTGATTTCGGCTTTGCTTCTGTGAAAATCAAGATAAAATCTGGTGGCACCAGTAGATAGAAGCCAGAGGATTTGGGTGGGGAGCCTGAATGCAGGTATGAATGGATAGCGTTTAGGGAAAATTACATAGCTAGAAGGATTCCTGTAATCTGCAAGGCCTTTGGATCTATAAGAGCAAATTAATATTGGAGGGTTTGATTTGGCCGAGTGAACCTTCGAAGAGATGGCAGGCATTGTAGCAAACCGTCGACACGAATCTCAAAGCAATCAAACGGCTCAGGATGATAGCTGGACAATCAAGACATCTGGTTACAAGAACATGATCCAAGTCGACCATTCAATGACCTACAACTCAATTGGAGCCACCCGACACATTATGTCGAGGGATTCAATCGGAGTGTCATGCCTATAGTCTTGAACCTTCTAAACTCTTCACAAGTGCGTTGGACTGCAACATATTGACCGACCAGTCTTTTACTACGACAGACACGATTGACACTCTACCGGTCGCCTTGGTCGACCAACTGATTACCGACACATGTGAATTCAAATTGTAATATAGATTTGATAACCAATCATCACGAGTAAATTGCATTAAGGTCGGTTTCCATAACCGTCCCCTCTATTTAATTGTACAAATACACCTCTATAAATAAAAGACAGAAGGACGAATAAAAAAACCTCTCCCCATTTCTCCGCAAAGACTTCCTCAATTATTTTTACTCTCTCGCATACCCCTTCTCACTGCTCTAACCGTTGTTTTCACAAATGATAATTTAGAATTTAACATCCTAAAAAGTGGTGCGGTGAGCGTGGACATGCCCCGGACGAGAAGCAGAGCCAACTACGAAGGGAGAATCCCTGTGGAGAGAAATAACACCTATGGAGTTCAATAGGGAGACGGTGCCCCAAGACATACATGAAGAGGTCCAGGTATCACGAACGCAAATAATGAACCAGTTTGAGGCTCTTCGAGTGGTTATGATCTTGCAAAACAACGGTTGGCCCCACAACCGACCAACAGAAGGACCAAGAGATTCCCACCCGGTAGATAGCATCTGGTGGACCGAGTGAAAACGTTTGCTTGGTCGGTCATGGGTCGCACCTTCTCCCGAATGATTCGAGAAACAATACTCGTGACGAAGCATAGGAGTCCTCACTTCGATCCCTATAAAAGGAAGAGCAACTCGGCCGACAACCTCGCTTCTTTTGAAATCGACAGTCGGAGTCCTACAGATCGATGACACCATGAAGTGTCGGTTGTTCCTGACCACGCTGAAAGAAGCCGTGCTCCAATGGTTCAACAGCTTAACAAACGGAGTCATTCCGCCGTTCTTTGAATTTCGAAAGCTTTTCCAAGCGCACTTTGCTAACATACAGAAATCAAGAAAGGACACTGAAACTCTGCTTCATATTAGACAAGGGGAGAATGATAGTCTGTGGGCTTACATCACCCATTTTTAAAAGGAAATGCTAGAGGTAAAGAATTTAGTGCGCCTCATTGCCGAACCGCTCTGAAATGTGGGATCTACAGTAAGCGATTCAAGTATGACCTGAACCTACTCAAGCCAAGGACCTTCGTGGAGGTCTTGGAACTAGTAAATGATAACATTGCCACCAAAGAAGACCTTATGGAATCCTCGGAAATTAAACCGAAGGTATCCGGCCACCGGCCACAAAATCGGCAGGATCAGGAACGACAAAAGGTAAAAGAGTGAACAAGCCCTTGACCGATGGTCGAATGACAACCCAAGGTCACAGGACAACCGAAAGAGCAGCCGAAGCAGCCAAAGTCAACAGTGGTGCTTCTCTGACTAGCGGTCGACCCAATAGTTCAAGTGACCTCACATATATTAGGAGTTGCAAGGTTCGACATCTTTGAACGTGTCGATAGCCAAACTAGTCCAGACCATTCAAAATAAAGACTACTTCAAGAAAGCCCCTCCGCTAAAAACTGCACTATTACTGCTCAATTCGAACAAATTTGTGTTTTCCATCGAGATCACGAGCACAAAACGGAGGAATGGCGCCACCTGAAAATATTGGTAGAGGAGTTTATTCGTGCCAAAAAATTAAAGGAGTTAATCGCCATTGGAGCCCACACACAACGATAGGGAAAGGCCCAGCAGAGGGGCCCGCGGATGAACCTGTTCCGACAAACAAAATCTACCTTGAGGTGGATAGTTATCTCGACTGCCTTAGAGACACCAGTCGGGAGAGGTATGTTCTGTCAACTCTTACACTCGAGCTCACCTTCCAGTCACTTTCACAGATGCAGATCTCCCTCTGAAGGGAAACCCACACAACGAGGCAATCGTTGTCACAACACTCATAAACAACTATCAGGTGGGCAACATCGTAGTCTACACCGGGAGTTTAATTAATATCCTGTTCAAAACGGTATTCGACAAAATGGGACTCAAAACCGACCGATTGGTGACACCGGCCGACCCGTTGCTCAGCTTCTCATGTCAGAAGAAAGATGCTCTGGGCATGATCGTGTTGCCTGTCTAATGGGGAGAATGAGAAAAACAATTTACGAATACCAAGAGCTTTTTGTTGATAGAATCCCCGCTGATCTACAATGCATGCTTCGGTCGAGCATTGTTGAACAACTATCAAGCAATGGCTTCGACTTACCACGTGGCTGTAAAATTCTCTGGAGAGGGGGAGATGATCACAGTCCAAGAGAACTTGGAGCATCCATAAGCTGCTATCTTCGGGTGGTCAACAGTGTCGACTAGGAATCGCTCGACGTTCAAATTCATAGGGAGGGAGGTCTCAAGACCAGTGAGACCATCCTCCGGGTACCCGCAACCAGTGAGGATGTGCCTGGTGAAATTTTTCTAATTAGCAAGTACTTTGAAGCAGGGCACAGAGATTTATTGATCCTGACTTTCCACACGCATTGAAATGTTTTCGCCTGGACAGCCTGGAGATAACTGGAGTCCCAGCCGACGTTGCGTGCCATCGACTCAGTATCAACGCTTTCACTCGACCGGTGCATTAGAAACTTCGATAGACCGTAAGGGTCTTGGCTAAACCGATAGCAGCAGAAGTCCAGAAGCTGAAAGCAGCGAGCTACGTCAGCGAGGTGCAGTACCCTACCCGGCTCTCGAACGTGGTGATGGTTCAGAAGCCCAATGACAAATAGAAGATGTGCGTCGACTTCACTAACCTTAACCCTGCATGTCTGAAAGCCACCTACCCCTTACTAAGGATCGACACATTGGTTGATTCGGCAGTCGGCTACTCCGTGATGAGTTTTCTCGACTCAGGATATATACAGATAATGATGCATCTGACCGACACAAATAAAACAACTTTTATTACTGCACAAAGAGTTATTTGTTTCACTGTAATGTCTTTCGGGCTAAAAAATGCCGGGGCAATCTATCAACTCGTTATGAATGTAATTTTTTTGAATTAGAAAGGGAAAAATATTGAGGTGTATGTAGATGATGTCCTAATAAAAAGTAGATCTGCTAAACAATATAGAGAAAATCTAAAAGAGACCTTTAAAACCCTTAAAAAATTTAACAAGAAGTTAAATCCTTCGAAGTGCACCGTTGGAGCATCGACTAGCAAATTCCTGGGTCTTTTGTTAACCGTCGATGGTTTGAAAGCCAAACCAAAGAAGATTCAGGCAATCCTAGACATGCCTTCCCCTTGGAACGCCAAAGAAATACAAATTCTAGCCGAGCGAGTGGCAGGACTCAACCACTTCATTTCAAAGTTTGGCGACAAATGTGCAGCATTCTTCAAAGCTCTTAGTAAATACCAACGCTTTGAATGGGTAGCCAATTGCAAATTGACACTCAGAGACCTTAAAAAGGCCCTAGCATTGCCACCGCTACTCCAAAGTCCGAAGCTAGCAGAGGAATTGTCGTTATACCTCATGGTCAGGTGAGATGTGGTCAGCTCCGTACTAATCAGAGAAGAAATGGGAAAACAATTTTCGGTGTATTACACTTAGCCGAGTTCTCTGAGGCGCCAATACCAGGTACCAATTATGGAAAAACTAGCATTTGCTTTAATTTTATTTTCTCGCTAGCTCCGATCGTATTTTCAGGTGTTTCCGATCTGAGCCATCACCGATTAATCTCCAAAGTCTGTGCTTACACAACCAAACATTCTCTGATTAATCTCTAAAGTTTGTGCTTACACAACCAAACATTCTGGTCAATTGCTGAAGTAGGCAGTGGAACTCAGTGAGTACGACATCAAGTACGTCCCCCGGACAGCTATCAAGGCGCAGACGATCATCGATTTTTTGGTAGACCTCTCTGAAGTAGATGAACCACGCGAAGAAGACTCTGCCGG